ACAAAACTTGCACACATAAAACAAGTAAGTATTTATCTACTCTGGTATATGCATAAACAGAAAGGGCTGTGGGACCACAGCGGGGTCCCCAATTACAAGTCAGCCACAACTTTTCTGTGTGATTATTGGCTACAGTGAATCTGGAAAAAAAATATTGCTGTTGGATTTTAATGTCTTCATATGCTTTCAAACATCCCTGAGACTAGAAAGGCACTATACAGTTTTGCAAATAAGTAATCTTTTTTCTAGTTGCACAGCATGTTTTTAGCAAAGAAAAACATGTGTGGGAAATAAGCAAATGCACCTTTTCAAAATTAATTTGTGTCAGGAATGAAGCTGTCTCCAACTCTAACTTCAGTTTGAAAAAGGTTTCAACACTTGGTATTTCTCTTTGTCAATATATCTACATGAGTTTCTCATATACTTTTTATGGGTATAGAAAAATCTTGAGAAAACCATGCTATAAGTTACATCTTTTAATATACATTGTGTCTGGCTACATTTTTACCCAGCATGCACCCACACATGCCTAGATATTCAAATCTCTTGGTGAACTTAAGGTTAAGGATCTCTGTTTCAAAATAAAAATGGATACATTTCCACTTTTCTTTTTTTATCAATTAGTATGATTTATTTTGGGATTTTATGTGGTACAACTAAAAAAATTCAATAATGCAAACTGTAGTCAACATTGATCAGTATACTGAGAGTTAGATATTTACATACAGATGATCAAGCTTTGCTTCTGGTCTAATTCAACTACCTGAACTCTATTAACACATGCCTATTTTGTCATAATTCAGGTGAACAAATTAAGATGAAGTAGTTTAACAAAGTAATTGGTTATGGGTTAATTATGTAATGCTTGAAGAGATGATTATGAGGCCTGAGGTTAAACAATTAATAGGTCTAACCATTATGGTAGTTTGATATTTACATGTGCACTGCTAAGAGAGAGGTAGTTCATGCTGCTTTTAAGATAGCTTTGTTGCTGAAATAAACTCTTGGATTCAAATTTTGTCTCTTTGGAAGCTAAAGAAAAATGATGATGCTACAATGTGGACTTTGTTTCATTAGTTGTAGCACATATATATGAATGAGAAAACAGTAAGCCAGTATATATCCTACCACAGTATTCTTAAGACATTTCTGGTATCCTGTGGTAAGGTTTATATGTTACTATGCCTTTTATAATAAGTGTTTAAATAATTTTTTAATAAGTTCAAATCACATATTTATGAGTTACAATAATTTATAGAGATCTAACATTTTTTATTTTTGCCTACTTAAGTCTATTTCCCTTTTTCTATATACTATGATCTCAATTTTTCTTTGAAACTATCCTATCCCTCCTCTCAGGCCATGAGGATCCTGGGGAGCTGACCTTGTCTTCCCATGAAGACTGAATGGTATGTGATCCAGGCTTGATCACACTGCTCGGTTCAGTGATATCCAGATGAACCAAGCCTTAACATCAGATGCCAATTGAAAACACTGATTTTGGGAGTTTTGGGTGTGTCAGTATTTAAAGGTAGAGCTACTAGTAACCTCCCTGCTACAATGAAGGCTGAGAGTCTGTGGGAGAATCTGCACTTTGAGAAAAGCAGAGCTGCAAGAAAGAATGACAAGATTCCTGATGACATTATTTAACTCATTGGATCCAGCACTACCAGAAGAAGAAAAATTCCAGCCTCTTCAGTTATATGAGTTAATAAATTCACTCTGGGTTGAATTTCTACCACATACAACCAAAAAGTCCTGTACAATATATACAGTAACCTACTCCAAACTACACTCCCAGTGTACTCCAAGTACACTTCTTTCTTAACATCATAGTTTATATATTAAAAATAACCCTCTAGTAGACTCACTTGTCTGTACATATTATTTACTAATTTCTATCAATTATGAGGTTTTCATGGATTGACTGATGCATGTCAATAGCACAAACTTATTCTTTCAGAAATGTAATTTATCGTGCCTGAATTCACTGCCCACTGATCATATTTATATTCATTTATATTTTAACTGGATTCTGGTAGCTCTCTTTTTTTAGTTTTTGTAATTTTTCATAGTATTTTCATGTCTAAAGATAGCTTCCATCATTTTTTAATCTCATTATCTTTTAGCTCTGTATAATGGATAATTTTTTGGCTCTGTCTTTTAATGCACCAATACTCTCTTCATTTGTCTTTAAACTGTTATTTAAGTTATTGACTTCCTCATGTCCATTATATTTTTGTGTTCTACAAGTTTAATTTGATTACTTGTAAATGTGCCTCATCATTTTTTATACTGTCTTGTTTCTTGATTTTTTCATAATTTTTAATTTCTTCAAACATATTAAATTTATTTTAATTTATGTTTTAATAAATTTCCAAAATCTGGGTTTTTTTGAGGGTTTAATTCTGTTGTGTTTTTTTTGTTTGTTTGTTTCTGCTAATGCTTTGTCATGTTGACTTTTTTCCTGGTGTGTTTCTGTGCTTTTTATCTCTGAGTTCATAGTCACTGAAACTTTACCTATGGGAATAAGCTGAGACTTGATTTAAGGAATTGCTCTAAGCATGATTTGAACATGGGTCTTTTATTTTTTATTTTATTTATTTTTTTTTTTAAAGATTTTTTTTTTTTATTGGGGGAATTGGGGGAATGGGAACAGTGCTGGGGAATTGGGGGAAGGGGAACAGACAAGTTGCTGTTGTTTTGTTCTTCAATCTAGTTGTGGAGTATGTTGCCTCACTGGCCCAAGTTGGCACCATCATTGCGCTCTTCTCTGGCGAGGCAGATCAGTCGCCGGCTTCTGGACGGCCGCTCACTGCGGCTGCTGGCCGCTCACGCTGGCTGCTGGCCACACACGGTAGCGCAAGCCACTGCCACAGGGACTGCAGCCCACGCCGTCGCCGGCGACTCACGGCAGCCCAGCTCCAGGTTGAGCTGCTGTTCAGCATCTTAGCTGTAGAGGGCAGTGTCACTGGCCCTCCTATGTGGGATCCGAACCGGGGCCCTTCTGGCGTCCCAAGCCAGTTCTTAACCATCGCGCCACTCGGCCGGCCCTGAACATGGGTCTTTTAAATACATGATACCTAATCTGAGATCACTTTAAACTATATTTTATAGGCATAAAAATCAATGGTTAATATGAATCCTGGATCCATATCTGAGTGAGGGCTGGTTTGTGGTTAAAAATTCTCAGGGAAGACTTTTTATTCTGTCACCTCAAAGCCACGTCCAATATAAACAAGTTTCCTTTCCATGTTTTTGTCTTTTCATTCCAACCCCATCCCTAAAAGGAAAGTTTTTCTCTTTGGTTTCAGTTGTTTTATTTGACGTTCTTTGTCTAACTTCCCACCTATGCAACCTTCTTGTCTTTGTCTGGTCCCTTAAGGTCTCACAGAGATTATTCGATGCTCTGGGACAGCTGTCAGGATTAGCATTGTTTCTTGGTTGGATTCATAGTCTCTCAACATTTTTAGCCTCTAAGGAGTGCCTCAAATGTATGTCAGCTCTTCTATGCAATGCATTTAAAGAGGTTTTGTTTGGGTTTTTTTTAAAGATTTTATTGGGGAATTGGGGGAGGGGAACAGCACTGGGGAATCAGGGAAAGGGAACAGACAAGTTGCTGTCCTTTTGTTCTTCAGTCTAGTTGTGGAGGACGTTGCTTTACTGGCCCATGTTGGTACTACCATTGTGCTCTTCCTGGGTGAGGCAGGTCAGTTGCCCGCCTCTGGACGGCCGCTCATAGCAGCTCTTAGCAGCTCACACCAGCTGCCGGTCACTCACGTTGGCTGCCAGGCCACCCACAGTAGCTTATGGCAGCCCACTGCAGCAGGGGCTGCAGGCTATGCCATCGCTGGTGACTCACAGCAGCCCAGCTCCAAGTCGAGCTGTTGTTCACCAACTTAGCTGTAGAGGGCAGTGTCACTGGCCCTCATGTGGGATCTGAACCGAGGCCCTGCTGCTCAGAGCTGGTGTCCCAAGCCAGCTCTTAAACAACATGCCACTTGGTCGGCCCATTTAAAGAGGCTTTTAAAAGTTTATTTTATCCAGCAATTCTAGGTGTTTTGTATACCTTAAAAAGAAATAGGTATATCTAAACCACAATTTTGATGGAAACAGAAACCCTTGTCCCCCTATTTCTTTAAAGCATAATCATTATTCAAACAGCTACCATGTGAGCCCTCAAAACTCCTGATATCGTGAGGTTATTTCATGAGGTACATATTTTCTTGGTAACAAAGTCAAAGATACTGTTTTTTTTCTGACTCTTCTGTGACTCTATTTCCAATTTCAACAACTATAATTTATGTAGTATAAATTAGTTACCTTACTATAATTTATGTACCTTTTTGAACAGCTATAAAATTTTTTAGAAGAACATAATGAAAATACATCTAGAAAACAAAACAAGTATTTAAAAATACCTGTTTTTATCTTTTTTACAATTTACAGTACATTTTGACATACATTATGCAATTTTTGTTTTTGTCCAAAATGTAGGCAGTGAGAGTATTCCTATGTGGCCAAAAAAAATAACTCCTCAGATGGTAATGCCTGAATTAGAATCCAGATTCTAAACCCTGGTCCAGTGCTCTTATGTTTGAATAAGACAAACTGAATATTTGGAATGTTTAGAAAGAACAAAACAAATGAAATAAACACTACATTGAAAACTTTCTAGTGTCAGGGTATCAGCGTATTTTCTAACTGAAGGTAAGCATGTTGAAATTAATATAAAGTATGCTTTCCTAAACACATTTAATTTTAACTTCTGGAGTACTTTTGTTGTGCTTGTTGAAGATTTATTTGTGGCAAACTATTTCCTATTAATCATTTAGATCAATAGTATACCATTTGATGGACATTCTATACTGAAACACTTGGATGTAATTAATATATATTCAGTAGTCTAGAAGAATTAATTGGCCTATTTACATTTGAGATATTTTGTCAAACAAAATGACAGATGATTTTTCACACTATTTAAAATGGACAGCACTTACAGCTTTGTCTGCAAAGGTATCTTCATAAAATGCCAGCATCAAAGCAAACTGTGCAACTGTGTATATCCTTAAGAGTTGAGACGCCGGTGATGAGAAGGGAACTTCTTTCCCCGTTACCTATGAAGACAAGAAAGAAGCCTTTCCTTTATATTGTTCCTTTGCTTATTCCTCTCGTTGAAATCCACACTAGTAAAGAAGAGATATTGTAAAATGAAATGAAAGGTTTTGCTATTTATTTTTCCAGTATGATTCTAACATTCATTTTTTTGGGTAGAAAAAATGTAAAAGGAGACTTGCTTTTCATTTCGGAAGTATTATAATTCTGATTTAGTCTGCCTTATGTAGAGCAATGTAAAAACTGATTCAGCAATATGTACTGATGGTAAACATAACCAAAAGAAAATATGAATACAAAATATGTCCGTGGTTAAACATGAAAGAATAGCAAAAGAGAAAATGGAAGGTGACTTTGGGTCATGTCAGTAATTGTGCCTCAAAGGGAAATGTTGTATTGGACAAAGCTTTTCCAAACTACAGAATTTCCTGGAAACACTACAATTCTATTTTTTAATGGAGATTAAGCAATAATACGACTTTAACACATTCACTTTAGGTTATCTATTGAAAAAAAGAAAAACAATAAATAGACCACAGTTAACTACACTTTTTAGAGCTGAAATAAACAAAATATTTTCATCTTTGTCAAGTTAGCACATTACTACATAACTGATTTTGAGCATAACCAAAAGTATTGGGGAAATATTTTTACAGCAGCTTTTGTAACTAGGTGAGAAAACATCTTCATTGAGATCAGGATTTTTTGAAAATAATAACAATACCCAAATAAAACATACAATTTTATTCCTTTGAAATAGTGGGTAATTTTTATACTCATAGTTATCTTTGAAATCAACAGCAGTTTACTATTTCTCTTGTTTCTATATTACTATTGACAGTTATTTTGATAAAGAATTACAATATAAATCCTGAATGATTGGAAAAAAATTCCTTTTCCCTGTCTATAAGAGGAACTTGAGAATGAAACTGAATTTTTCATTTGGTTTCCAGTGCTTTAAATCTCTACCAGGCTCATTTCTGTTTTTAAATGGGATTTCTGTATTTAATGCTACTACAATACTGATAGAATTAATAGAGTTATGGTTTAGTCCAGTAACTACATCATCCTGATGTGACTTGAGACATTCCATTTATTTTGTTTCATGAACAAAATAAAGGCTGGACTGAATCAGCTTTAAGGCTCCTCCATCTGTAGTGTGTTAGGATTCGGTGACTGAGCCACACGAGTCTCTACACTACACAAAGACTCCTGGTTGTGAGTTTGGGTGGATCTGAAAAACAGCTTCTGCTGCTGTCACATAAACCATTCTCTCTGGTAAGAGGCAGTGTCTGCCTGGGAGAAGGCACCCCTCTTCTTGGCCCCTAGGTGGTGTCCACTCAATAAGTTATGCACCACAAGGCTGAATTTGCCTAAGGGAATATTTTTTTTTTCCCCCAGATTTGCATGAAGTCAGCATACATATAGGTAAGATGTAGACTTGACAATAGGAAACTCATCTTCACCATGATCAAACCAATGGATTCTACTGACCTCTGGGATTTCTTCACTCAGCCCAAGTCTTGGTTTACCTGGACCCCATCCTGGTCCTTTACATATAACAGAAAACTTATTGAAGAATCCAGGTGTGGCCCAGAATGTAGTCCACATGTAAACCAAATGATGGAACTGGAAAAATAAAAATATATTCTTTTTTTAAATAAGGAAGTTTCTTAACAAAAAGGTTAAATACAATCACTCACATATTTTGTTTTATTGTTTAGCGTAATTTACATAATTTCTTTAACATATAGGTCAGGTATATTTGATTAATGTTAATTAATATGCAATTGAATTGCAACTGTAATTCATTCCATGCATCCTGCATGCCTTTAAAATTAAATGTGTTCTTATAATATTTCTGAAGCTCCACAAAATTATCACTTATAGGTCAATTGTTTAGAAACTCAGCAAAGTAGAAAAAATGAGTTGAGAGCCTTTGTTTTGTTTCCAACGGAACTAACTAGCAGCCTGTGTATTCAATACCCATATCTAATGACATCTTTCTAAAGTCTTGCTAAATGGATATTAGGTTTAACATGGAAACATACAAACATTGTATACATGTCACATATTTTTAAAATAATCCTGTATTTACTGTATTGAGTTATAGACAAACATGTTATATCAAGGAAAAATGTCAAAGCGATTTCTGATAGTCAACTTTTGAGTGTTACATAGACTATATTCTGTCATAAGAAAAGGAAAAGTTTGCTGAGTCAAAAGTTTGCCTTCAAGCTCATAACAGGAATCCACATTTTTACTATAACACATATTTGACAAGTATAGAAGTTACAAGTATGCCCATACATAATAAGTACCCAATAAATATTAGCTGTTAGGATAACTAACTATAAATGCTGTACTTCTCGTCATAATACATCATAGGATTAAAAATAATCCTTGAGTTCGAACATCACTTATCAACTCTAGAGATGAGTTCTGTTATAAGTGTAATAATAAATTACTGTAGAAAGAAATGTTGGCTCCATTAGAATTTGTGGTCTCACAGACATTTTCACTGTCTCTTAAAGAATTTAAACTGCTAGGATTATGAAAATGTGTGTGTTTTTTTTAATTGTCTAAACTGTTGCAATAAGGAATCTTAAGCAATTAAGGAACCATGTAGGATTTAGTGGGGCAGATTTTGAGGAAAAAGGAAATGTTAGATGGAAACTTACCCCGGGGCTTTGCAATAACAATAATACAGAAAATTAATGTGTTTAGTAATAATATGTTTAGTAATGATAATGTGTTTAGTTAATAATGTAATTAAAATTATAATGCATGTTAATATACTAATCTGTTGTGTTATTTTTGAAAACTGAGTTACAATTTTATTGTTATCATACCAGACACAAGCCATGAGACATACATGGTAACATTTTAAAATAAGAAATACTTTCTCCCTTATTTGTTATTCAATGCCCTGAAACCCCTGGACCCCAAAGGGGAGCAAAGTGAATAGTTTATGCTGAATAATAAGGAAAAAAAAATCCATCTAGTGGAGGCCATCCTAAGTTGCTTTTGATGCCTCTGAGGGAAAGGTGAGAAATTTAGCTGAATATAAAGGAATATAAGTAAAAGTAAGTATATGTTTTTATAGGTTCAGGAACCACTAATTATCACAACTTGCTAATTTGACATTTCTGATGAGTGAGCATGCAGGAGACTAAACCTTAGATACAGTTGTGACAATCACTACACTAAAAGGAAAGTTTGTGCGAGGGGTAGATGCTTGGAGATTCGAACCTGACACAGATTCAGCAACACCTCATAAATACTTGTGATTCTCTGAATATTGTCTCTCTCCAAATCCCCTTCATCCAACTATTTGTGTAGCTCGTGTTGTATAGTTCAATCTCTTATTCTGTCTCGACATGAACTGCTTTTTCTCAGCAAGAGTATATGCTTCCAAAGCCTTTCTATTTCAAGGTTCAGCCAGGTACATCACCTGGGAGCTTGTTAGAAACACAGAATCTTGGACAGACCTGAGACTTACTGAACAGAATCCACACTATAATAAGATCCTCCCACGATTCATAGGCATATTAAGTGTGAAAGGCTCTTTCATAGAGGACAGAGACCAAGTGGTCTATTTCCTTTTAAATCTCCACATGAAAGAGACAGGACTACACCAATGTATTATTTCTAAATTGGTTTCAATTCTATAAAGCTTATTATTAAGAAAGTGCCCTGAAATATATCTTTAGTATTCTCTTGAGAAATGTGTTCTTAATAATGCCTGAGATAAGGAGAAGGAGGGAGGGAGGGAAGGAGGGAGGGACTGAGAGAGAGAGAGAGAGAGAGAGAGAGAGGAGGGAGACAGAGACAAAAAGAGAGAAAAATATGGCATGCCCTATAGTAGAGAAAAAAGAATATCATCAATTTTTCTGTTTTGAAGTATGAGATAAAAATGCCTTTCACTTGAAAAATTAAGGCAATTTGTGATGACCTTTTCTGTAAAGAGGTAACACAGTGTAGAGGTTAAATAGAGTTAAACAAGTTTTGGGCTTGGCCTGCAACCCACCTCAGTTAAGTTTGCATTTGACAAGCTCTATGTAGTTGGGTGAATTATTTAAGTCCTGGAAAACTTAGTTTAATCTACCAAAAAAAAAAAATGGGGCTAAAAACAACCACTACCTCATAAGGTTTTAGTAACGGTTACATTAAACATTTGTGCAGAGCTGTTCGCAATGCCCTGAACATACTAAAAGCTCAATAAATGTCCATTTATTTTGTTAGTTTAACTTGCTTAAAAGTTGGAAGAAGTCAGTTTGAAAATCAGACCCAACATGAACGTGTAATTTCCTCCCTCACTGAACGCTGTAAACCCAGTCCCGAGGACAAAGCTGTCATTGACTGACCCCTTTCGTGTTTCAAGCATTCTTATCTTTTTCTCATTTACTAGTACCGAACCCCAGGAGTGTTTGTGGTGGTATGCTGCTGACGGATCGGAGCTTCACAGACATTCCTCATTTCTCTAGTGCCAACCAGTGAGACCAGTGAACAACCAACACCACATGTCTTAACAGAAAACTGGTCCAGCGCAACAAGTCTTAGCAGGTGAGGTAATGCACAGACCTAACCAACCCATAATAGCTCCTGACATTTAGGTCCAAGAAGAGTAGGGCAAAGGCCTCATGGTGAATTTCTAACCAGAGTCCTACAGACTTGGAGCAAATATTTTTCTTACTGTGGGATCAGCCTTAATTATACATTTTACTACCGCTCTTTCTGAACGCATGAATATATTTCAGGTCTATTCTGAGAAAGAATATGTTTGCTAAAGAGCCACTTTTTTTTTTACTCTAGGTAGAAGGCATATTTTAAAATTCTTATAAATTGTTTTTCAATGTATTTTGCCCAATTTGATTCAAGTCTTTGAGTGCCAGAGTTATTTTCAAACTCTTTTACAGTTAAAAAAAAATTGCTTTTCAGGGGAGTGTAATATACTACCATCTTTCAAAGCTGATTTTTCTTTCAAATATGAGTTTATGATAGCATGTAATAACTTCAGAAAGAATGAAACAAAGTACATTACCTGCACCTTGAATGGCTCAAATGTATTAATGGGATGCGTCAGACCATATACAACTTTTTCATTCTCTGCCTCAAATGTCCCTGGAAGATAAACATTAAGGATATCATCTTTGGTTTTCTGTGAATTAAGAAGCTAATTATTTTTATTTTTTAATTCTGGTACTTTTTACTTACCAAAAATTTTATCCCATATAATAAGAGTGCCGCCATAATTTTTGTCTATGCAATAACGGTTTCTGCCTATAAAAAAAAAAAAAAAGAATGAAGTTATGCTTTTTTGGAATATCTCGTCTTGTATTCTAGAACCCATTCACAAAATTAAGACTTGGGTTACAGATGATTTTCCTAGTAATGTCTTTTCACTGACAACACTAGCCTTTATTTGCTAGTAAAGTGAATTTTAATTTATTTTTCAGTTAATTTTACTAAAAAGAGCATATCTCCTTAAAACTACATATATTAAGAATTATTTCATAATAAAAATGTGCTCACAATTTTCCAGTTTGTTAAAAATAAAAAAATAATAATTAAAAATTAAATGGTACAGAAAAAAAGACTCTAGAAAATAAATAATATATGTAGTTTGTATTTGTCTTTTGTTTTCTTTTCTAATTTTTAAGTGAGTTGTTATGTCTATCCTTTTTCTCTGCATCTTTTTCAGGAAGAAAATTTACTACTTAAAGTGAGCCATTACTATTTTTTTAAATAATAAAATACATAAGTGAAAATCAAATTAACCTAGTTTTTTTTTTATTAACTTACAACATATATGATATTTGTTGTGTTCCAAAGGATTCAAGTTATAATTTAATTTTTAATAATGGCATAGTTTCTTCAATAATAATAAAAGATACAACTGTATTCAATGATTATAAATCAAAGAATAAAGGATATTAACCCACCAAATCACCACCCCAACAAACTCAACTGTCTCCATATACACCTTCCCAACATGCAAATGTACATTTGAAAGTGAAGACACAAGGACCAAGCCCCTGCAGTAAAAGGGGAGAGTGGGGCTGGCTCCACAGATGCACAGCCCATGGCCATTGGTGGGGTAAACAGTGGCTCTCAGTTGGAAGGGGAGGGGCGGACGACACACACACAATGTCCACAGTCACAATTGGGAGAGGATAATACTGACATCTAGTATGTAGAGACCAACATCCTATGGTCCCCCCCTACTCCCTAACAAAGAGCTGTCTGGTCTTTTTAAAATCAGTATTAAAATGTTAATAGCGCTGAGGCTGAGAAACCCTGATATAAAGCAATATGCGTGGGAAGGCGCTATGAAGTCAAACGGGAAACCAGCAACTATTTGTTCTTCATTGTGGACTTGTTCTTCTCCACTCCTTATATTTCCTTTTATATGGAGGGAACCCCAAGAGTATAACATTCTTGGCCTCTCTACCACTTCACTAATGATTCCCTCGGGGTGGGGGAATGGCTGTTGAATTTGGAAGAGGAAACAGAACATGTGCAGCCTGACCCCATCCTCTTCTCCTCCTGGGGAGCTCACGCTTCTGCTCTGCTCCCTGCCATGGGAAAAGGGGCCCGCGCCCTTGGGAAGGCAGGCTGCAGGGCTCCAGTGCTGCCTGATTTCTCGAAACTAATACAAAACAGAACAGTAGTATTTATTCTTTTAGTATCAGCTCCCTTCTCTCAACCGGGGTTTACACAAGCTATTGCATGCTGTAATAGTTTGGGCATTGCCATTGGGATACATACATGAATAGAATAGTCTATGCTTTATCTGTTTTACTGCAGATTAGCATGGGAATCCTATCTCTTTTTTTCTATTACCAATAAGGCTGATATGCACATTCTTGTCCAGGTCTTTTGGTTCACAAATGTAAACGTTTCTGTTCTTCCTTAAACCTAAGCCAGTGTCTTTAAGCCTTAGGCACTAGCCACATGGGGTTTCCTCTTTGTCAGGCAAATGTAGCCTATGTCAGGATTGTGCACATATTTTAAGCAGAAAAGTGAAGTGTTGCTTATTAGGCTTTCCTCAAATCCCCACAGTTTTCGAGACCAGGCACTCTGGTGCTTGATAGAAATGACCATCAGCACCAGATCAAGGAATGACCTTCAAGATATAAAGTGTATATCCACTCAGCAGTTTAAGTCATTTTCCCACTACAACTGAGAAGTTTTAGGCAAAACAGAAAATCTAAAAGCCAGATATAAAATGTTGTTGCTGTTTTTTTGTTGTTGCATGTTCTTGCTTTGGACATAAAGCTTGTCCTGATTCAAAGAAAGAAACAATGCCTATTTGCACAGTGGGTGCTGACTCTGTTAGGAAGCTGTGATGAAATGATGCAGAATAATAATATCATTGTTAAATAAATGAAAAAAGAAAGAAGAAATCAAATTTCTTTACCATGATGAACTCTATGATGGCTGGGTGTATTAAGAATCAGTTCCAAAGGTCCAAGGTTATCAACGACCTGTTTAAAACAAAAGGAATATTTATTAATACACACAGGTATTATTAAATGTATATGTAATATATACATACTCACATTAAAACCGTACATGGGTTAATAGACATTCTATGTTCCAGGGTGGGCATCAGAGTCAGAAAAATTTCTTTATCACCTGGTGTTCATATAAAGACAAAAATAAGCTCATGACTCTATTATGAGAGTCTACTGTGAGGTTAAGAGCTAGGCTGCCTCAGTTTGGTTCCTGGACCCTCCATTTATTAATATGTGATCTTGAGAAAATAACAAGCTATTTATAACTCTATTTTGTCATCTTTAAAACAGAAACAATAACAATCTCTAAATAATACTGTTCTGAGAATGCAAAATGGTACTGTAAAATGGTGCTATTGCCAAGGCATACTTCCCTTATTTTATTTTCCACCTTTCAACTATGTCTTTGATGATTTATATAGGCAGAGCATAAATAGGGGGGGAAAAACACAATATTCTATTCATTTTCTGGGTTTGGTTTCACCCAATAATCAGTCACATTATCAACAACTTGCCATTGTAGCTGTTATTTGTTGCATTAGGGTGATCATGCTTATTCAAATAGAATCTTAACTGATCTCCGACCTGTAGACACACCATCTACCAGTACATTCTAGAGGCACAAATCAAAGTCAAATGGGGCTTTTTATACAATCATAGATCCATCAAAACCTGGTCTATAACTCTATAATGTTCTCCCTCAATATTTCTCAGTAAGAATCTCCTATTCCAGAGTATGGAAATTCTAAGGAGTGTAGAAATCAAGTACGTGTCATACACAAGAAATGTAGCCCATGTGTAAGACAGTTGGTAAGTTATATAATTAATATTGGGTAATATGGGAATCCTTTTAATCTCGATTACATTATTCTTTCTTCCGTTGACCATGGTAGATCACAGAATATTTGACTTTTCTTTAATCACCGTATCAATAGATTAGAGCCCACCAATGACCAGCTCAATACATTGTTATATTTTAAGAAATTTCTCACCTCTAGTGTTAACTTCCATATAGAGGATGTATGAGGATTAAAGGAAGAAGTTAAATGATGTTTAAGAGAAAAAAAAAAAAACTCAGCCATTGACAATCATGGCACTGACATGAATTTAGTGACAAGTCATTGATGAGGAGTGGGGAGAGTCAGTAAAATGAAAAAATATTTATGATATATAACAACCAAAGTAGTATGAGAATATTATTTGGATACTTATTTGAACAAAATAAGCAGAAGAGATGTTTTGTAGGCAATGTGGGAAATTGATTACAAAAAGTGTGACATGACAAGAAGTGCGGTTTTTATTGGGCGTTATAATGGCATTGGCATTGTGTAAGAAAACACAACTGTTTTTCAGAGTTCTATAACTGAAAAAGATCCAGGTCTTGCTACAAAACTGTGACATGAGATCTAGGTCTTGTTACAAAATATTTGGCAATGTAAAAGAAAAAGAAATGGATAGCAGATTGCAATTAATCAAAACTGTAATAATTCTTGAATGGAAGTGCTGGAGATATGTAAATGCATTCCATTATTCTTTCTACTTTTCTGAATATTTAAAGATTTTTAAGATAAAATTTTAAATAGAAGAAATTGTTACTCTACTAATATACAGTAGTGCTGTCAGCCAGTTGAAAATATTAATAGATTCCTAAAGTCCCAAACATACTTCTAGATTGCAACTCTTTATATAGCAGGGTTTAATCATTTTTTTTTGGTTTTGGCACTCTCTAACATTAAAACATCCAATGTACACGTGCTCTGCAAATGTGAAGAGCCGCAGTAGCCACACCATCCTTAGCTTGTGGGGTCCTGTACATTCTTGAAGCAGAAACCGTGGCAGCATTGCCATATAACAACGCTGCATCCCTTCAGGGGCAGGTGCCACCATCTCCTTATTAGAAAGAAACAGTCCCTGCTTCCCATCCTGCTGCCCAGCTTCTATGGGATTCTTGGCTTCCATTACGGTACTGACAAAAGTGTATGCATACAAAGGATGTGTAATATTACGTACTGTGTGTTAATTTAAGTCAGTCAGTCTCTCCCTCTCTCTCTCTCTCTTTTTCTCTCTCTCTTCTACCCTCACTCTCTCTCTCACTCTCCTACCCTGGAGTTCTATGACCATTTTTAAAGTTATTTCCATAAGAAATGTATTATGAACTGTAAACAACAGACTTTTTAATTAATTCACAGAACTGAACTCATTTATACACAAAGGACTATCTCTATTTTTTTTTAATTTCAGGAGTTCAAAATAATGTAAATATACAGCCCTTATATCAGACTATACACCAATGAAATAAGGTATTATATCACACAGTATTAATGACCAGGAATTGGGAGGGGAGTAAGTGGAAATAACCCTGTATTTTATTGGACTGCATTGCCTTGTTCTTGGTGGGAAAATATTTGTTGAGAAGAATGGTGATGGATAGAGAACAAGAAAGCGGGTTTCTCAGTAGTCAGAACATTGAAACCTGATGCTTTGGTTGGGCTTTGTATCTCTGGCAGTGAACCAGATGGGAAAGGAGAAAACCATTTTATCCTTGTTTGCCTCTTCGGTGCCGAACATGTGTTACGAAAACAGACAACAAAAGGGGGTGGAGGAGGCTACACTGGCTGGGTTCTGCTCCCCATATGCATTTCTGATCCTTGGTCCTGGCATGTGTGCATCCAGATTTAAAGCCACACAAATGGTGAGTGCATTCAGATGGCTGGAGCCTTGGCTGAGCACATTATTTTTTTAATGTCAAGCTCCTTCCCTCAAAGAAAATCTTTTGCTCCTGCAGGCAAAAACATGGTGATATCAATACTGAAAGTTCCTTTTTTTTTTTCTTTTTTAAAGTTAGAAGCCAAGTACAACACAGGCAACCACAGTTAAATTTCCTGGTAGTGCCTATGAGTACCTTGGAGCTGGGAAAGACCACCTCAGTGTGGGAGATGATTCATCATTCAGACAGGCCAATCAGAACGTCTCTTGTAGAAAAAACACTTCTGACTCAAAGTCAAGGAGAAGTCATTAATAATTAATAAGGCTTGAGCATAACAACTCAATTATCACCCACTTTGCAAATTCAGTCATTTAGCAATTCAACCACATCTAGCTTTGAATCACTTCCTGAAAATATGTTACTGTGGAAATAATTGCAGCTATTCTAATTTTATTATTTATTTGTCTTTTGGGGGGGATTTAAAAGAGTTAATTTAAATAATGAAATTTTAGAACATATAGAGGGCTTAAAAATAATATAGTCCAATGCTCTGTGTCATATATATATGAAAAAAAGCATTAAACTGAAGAGAAGTTAAATTACTAGTCCAAGTTTAAACAGCTTGGGAGGAAACCCAAAAGTCTTCTCAGCGTAAGCTCAGGAATCTTTCAATTTTTCTATCATTTTGCTTTTAAGAAACAGAAATTTTTTTCTATCAAAGGAAAGCAAATTTAATCTTTTAGAACATTAATGGGAATTGATAACTACATCCATTTTTACTATATTTCCATTAAAATGAATCTAGGCATTCATAAAGAGTTCAGAGATTTCAGCTTCTAAACTGCCCTTCATGGTATTTTAGGCAGTTTGGGTGCTTCTTAGGTCTCCAAAGCTATGGTCTAAGTCTTTTTTTTATTTTTATTTTTTTTATTTTTCAATTACAGTTGACATTCAATATTATTGTATATTAGTTTCAGGTGTGCAGAATAGTGGTTAGACGTTTCATATAATTTATGAAGTGATGTCCTATATCGTGTAGTTTTCTGTCAGGGTTTTATAACCTGAGGACTATGGGTGCCTGGAAAGGCCATGGATGGGCTTCAGAAGGTCAAGAACACCCTGAAGTATCATGGCAAATTTTATGACTATGTGCCTAGGGGATTTTTCTAGGGGGAAACTATCTTTTTCCTTGTGCATGCAAAGTGATACATAAGTCCCGGAAGGTTAAGAACCAATGTCCTAAAAAGAGAATGTCAGATTATTTCCTTTGTTTTTCTTATTTATGTTTTTAATTTCCATACTATTAAAGCTTAAGTGCTAATTTATCACCCAAACTTCAAAACCAGTAACATTTCTTTTTCTGCCTATTTCTTCAAATCATTGTTTTCCAAAAGAGCACTTCTTAGGCTGTTTTTACTTGTATAATAATAAAGTATTATAATGAATAAATAATGGAAATAATTTTATAATAATAAGATCCATGCATTCTATTGATTAACTTTTGTCCAGCAGAAACGCTCTGGATCAATTGCTGAACTGGTCACAAACTCCCCATTTCTCCAGCTGCAATTTATGGTGGAGGTGGGAAAGAATTAAATCTAAAAGCAAGAGTCGGGGCCATGAGACTGTCCATTTTCTTATTAAGTCATTTCCCCTTATCAAAAATAAAATGAACTCAGACAAAAGGTTCCTTATAATGAACTCAATAAAGTCCAAAACATTTGACATTTAAAGCTGTTCACTCTTCCTCAAGACTGATTTCCGATTTTTTTCTTCTGCCTCTAAGACCTTAACCTATCTACCTTGACTTGATGGAATCCCGTTCTGCCTTCCAGACCTACCTAAATTTTCCAAATAGGCTTCTTGATTTTCCCAATGGGAATTTGGTTTTCCTTTCTTTGAATACATTATTAATTTTTATGCCATGCTCTTCCATGTCTTATTTATCTGTGTTCATTCCACGTACTATGTTGCAAGTTCCATGAGGAGGGAGATTGTGTCTCACCGTTTCTGGTTTCTCACAGCACATATAACGTTGCCTTGCATATAGTAATTGCTCAGCAGGATTACACTGAGTAGATAAATCCACCTCACTGCCCCCGACCTTTTTGCCTTTATAGTAGTGGTTCTCAAATGGGGTTGAGTGTGCTCCCAGGGGGCATTTGGCAAAGTCTGGAGATACTTTTGCCTCTGCAACAGGAGGAAATGCTACTGGAATCTAGTGAATAGTGGATTTTATTGCAGCTAAATATTCTACAATGCA